TGAGCACTGCAGCAGGAGATTCATTTTCAACATTCTTCCCATCACCCTGGACAACACAGGTCAAGTCCATATCTCCTCCTGAGATTATTACTGTCTTCTCACCTGGCAAAGAAACATGCTGAGAGTTTGCAAGTCTCTGCTGAAGTCTGCTCTTTGATACATCAGTAGACACCAAATTTGTACATGAATCCAAACCGACATTCACTGAAGCAGTTCTGTGATCTTGGGTCAGCTTTTCGATTTGATCATATGAGCCTGAAGATGGTTCGAGTGCACTATTTTTATGTGACACAGAAGCTCGGTTACCTGAAGGTGTTAGACTCTTTGTAATGTCCCTATCACCATGTGCCAGATGTCTGTTTTCTGCTACCGAAGGGTTTGTATTAACTGGCTTTTCAAAAGTTTTATGCTGTGAACTGTTCATTTCTTTGGTACTGTCATTATAGACTACAGCTGTATAATTCCCAGTAATTTCCATGTTATCACATTTGGCAAAAACAACAGTTTTATCACCTCGGAAGACAGTCTCAGAAGAAATGCATCCTGGGATAGTAGACATTGTGCTGGCCTCTTGTTTAACAGCTTGCACCACTGTCAGATCTCGTCTGTCTTCAACATTTACTATTTTTTTGACTGTACAAAGTTGAGGGTCCTGCTGATCAATTAAGTGCTGATTAGATGCTCTCTTTAATACAGGATTATCTACCTCTGCGGATGAGAAATCCATTTTGAAGTTTAGACTTTGATTCCCAACACTGGAGAAGGGAAACGACACTTTTGCAGTGTGACTAGCTGTCATATCCATTCCATCATCTACGAAGGCCTCAGTAACATCCGCACACAGTAATTGCTGTGGTGGAGCTTCATAAATACCAGGAAATAGAGCATTAACATCACATGCCTGGCATTTTGTCATGTCCATTCCATCATCTTGCTCTCTAAAGACTTTTGATACATTGCAGGTGTCCGGTGGTTCATGGGAATATACAGACTTCACCGGTGACTGTGGCATGTCTTCTGAGACTTGCGAAGGGACAAAAAACACATTCTCTTTTTCAGGTCCCTCAATAGGATTCAGTGCCTTTTGGGCTGACTTCAAGCTTATCAAAAATTCTTTTAAATCTATTTTTTTTACAGTAGTAGCATCTTCCTTCTGTTCAAAAGATGGGCACGTCTGGTTTGCAGGGTCAGAGAAAAAATGAAATTCTTTGCTCATTCCTCCCTTTTCATTGTTAGAGTTTAACCCAGGCAGAAACGATGTGATATCTATTTTCTCAGTTTTGTCAGCTTGATTGTTTTTCAGGTTACGTGTAATCACTGCAGTGTGACTAGCTGTCATATCCATTTCATTTTCATCGGAAAAGATAAGGGTGGTGTCATGCCTACTTGTTCTTTGAATGGCATCTGCATCACGCCACTAAGAAAAAAAAAGGCAAGAAATCACAGTTACTCTTAAAACAAATGATACAATTGATACAGTAGTTTATTCTATATGAAATAAAACTCAGCTAATGCAGTCATAAGGTTATAGCTCTATCTTTACTTTGGGTTTTTTTTCAAATTATTTCAGTCCCCCTCAATAAGCAGTAGCACATTCAAGGAAAGCACAATGACTTTATTAGAGAATACCATATTTAAATAGCTATTTTTTTCTTGAAATAACGTGTCTCAGTTCTACTGCTGGGCAAAGACTTCCTATCTAGATACATCTTAGTAAGTATGGAACAATTACTGAGACTGATGGATAAGTTGGATGTTTTAAAAGGCTTCTCTATGACTGACTAGGGAGATTTTAGTCTCTTTAATAGAGGATTTACAGTTTTAAAGCTGTGGGGAAAAAATGGCCAGTAACAAGATATAACACCATATTTTATCAAATATAATGAATATATTAAGAACAGCACTTCATGTTTACTTCAAAATACATATGCTATTTTATAAATGCAAGAAATAAAATATAGAAGCACAACCATATGCATACATTACCCAAAACAAGGTAAGACGGAGTTTCAGTCTGACCTGTATAGCCTCATGGTACACATCTTCTCATCCACACTAGACTTTAACTGCTATTTTTTTTTTGTCTGTAGGTTTGGTTTGTTTTGGTTTTTAACCAATCATTAAAAAGAGCTTACATATGCTCTAAAGCCATATCTTTAAACTCAACACAAAAGTCAGAAGCTACTCCAGTAAGGGAGACTGTTTTGACAATTGCTTTGTTTAACAACACGGGGCCATAACATCAGTGTAATGCAGTTCCGGATTTGTGTGCAGTTGTTACTGGGAAGGTCTCAGCTAAGACTAAAAGCTTTTTAACAGCAGGAACAGAGACTACATTTGTGCAGATCCGTTTTACCCATAGAAGAAAAAATATGCAAGCAGAGAGTAATACATGAGAAAAAAATACATAACCAGATCTATCCAAAACATAAGCTCATTGCATATTCTTGGATAAGAACTGAAACAAATGGAGGAACTAGCTCAGGTACTGAAAAATTAGAAAGCAATTTTAGAAGCAAGAGGTATCAGTACTGCAGTGTAATGCCTAGCAGATCACAGAATTACAGAATCACACAATCCCAGACCGTTAGGGATTGGAAGGGACCTCCAAAGCTCATCCAGTCCAATCCCCCTGCCGGAGCAGGAACACCCAGATGAGGTTACACAGGAAGGCGTCCAGGCGGGTTTTGAATGTCTGCAGAGAAGGAGACTCCACAACCTCTCTGGGCAGCCTGAGCCAGGGCTCTGTTACCCTCACTGAGAAGAAGTTTCTTCTCAAATCTCCTGTGTTTCCAGATTAGGAAATACAGAAGATTAACTTTCAGAAGAATTTTATGTGAATACGAGTATTTATTTTTTAAAGGCATTATTAGTTTTTACAACACAAATTATTGGAATATATTTCAGATACTGATATTTTCAGCACTGAAAAAAAAAAATAAAAGCCTTCAGATACCTCAGTCTGCTGCACCAGTGCCTGGATAGGGGCATGAAGCAAAGTGTTCATCCCTGTTAAAAGAAAAGGAAATAGTCCATTTGTTGCACTATTTTGTTATTATTTTGTCCACCTAGCTGAAGATCTCACTATACAAATACCATTGAGTAAGTAAGTACAATTAAACTCAAACACAGACTGAAAAATATTTTCAATACTACTTTCAGCATGTGGAAGAGCTGCCCGTACTTCTGCAGTACAATACATTGTTCTAGGCATGTCAAAATTATTCAAACAAAATCAATAGTTTTGAACAGAGAGAGTTATTTTGTTATTAAATCTATTTCAAAACTCACCAGTGATCTCACACGGAACAGCTTCAGGTTCTTCATTTCTACAAAAGGTGAAGCAGTTTGTTAAGATTTCAAAACAGAAGGTGTCAGCACTATACTGAAAAGGCAGAGAATTCTGCTGCACAGCTCATGTGGGACTGGGCAGCAGATACCAGACACTACTTACATCCCTTCAACGTACTCTAATTTGAGTTGCAATTTTATTTTCCCCATGAGATTGTCTCATGTTAGCACGCCACAAGCTACTGTTCAGCATACAGATGGCATTTTAATTCCTCAGTGACAGGTAAAATAGAAAATATTAATTCTGTATTTTTAACTCAGACCTTCCACTTCCAGTTATTCTTTTCTCTTAGGGAAACTGAAGCTGAATTCCTAAAGCCTGAAATAATTTCTCTGTAAGACAAAAAGCCAGATACAGTACCCAACTTGTATGGTTTTCTGTCTAAGTTTTAATGCCTTCTGCTCTCCACTGTTTTATTGATTGTTCTTTCAAGACCAACAAACCTCAGCTACAGTACCGATTTTTATTTGTGTCTGTGTGTATGTAATACATATATGCATGCACATAAACACGCACATATATGTGCTACTATATTGGGCTCATGCCTTTAAAAGCAAGAGTTAACTACAGTCGTACATAGGCTCCTTCCTTGCTATGTATTTTAAATATAAGAAATTCCCCTTCACACACAAAAATTGTCTAAATCTGTTATTTTACTTGCCAGGTAATTCTAATTTTAAAAATCCCATCATTGTGTTTTACCTAAAAAAGAACTTTGAGGCCAGACTAACACTTTACGTACCTCTGAGGGGAAAAAAGTTATGGTAATAAATACCAAAGACTATGTTTATCAGATATGGAAACTGGTAGGTCTTTTCTGGAAGACATTTCCAAGCAATCAGCTGTGGAAGGAAGCAGTTTCAAGCCATAATTGTTCAATTTTTCAGAAACTGCTCTCTTTTTGTGAGTGACCAACACAGTTATATGCTTGTTTTGCTGTATCCCTTCTTTTACCAATCAAAACAACTGAACAATTTTATATCTAAAGAAATATGTATGCTGGAGTAGTATCTTGACAGTTGCACGTGATGTGAAGAAATGCATTTGCAGGACAAAGTCTATAGTTACAGGAATTTGTTTTTCAAACTTACTGATTAAGCAGGACATCATTCCTCTTATCTGCTGCACATGCTAAAAATAGTAAGGAAATTATGCGTTACACCGTGAGAAGCATGATAAAAACATTCAGAGACAAGAGTCAATGGCACAGAGAAGAATGTTCTGAAGTTCTCACTCTTGATGCGGTGTCTTATTGTGACAAGACCCCAGAGAAGCGAAGTACTTGAAAATGCATTAGCTTCTCAGATTCTTCCTCAGTAATCTTTGACAAAGTAGGACATTCTGCTCAGCTGCCTTTTGATCTAAATCCCCAAGGCCAATTTTGTTCTAGGTGCATTTTGTCTAAGAAAGTCATTCCTTTTCTGAGCTACGAGGTCCACAGTACCAGTAATAACTTAGTTTTCAGCCAGTCCATGGTAAACAGGTGGAACATAATGTCCCTTACCTGTGACTGACAGGCCTGATATCTTAAATTCAGGCTAAAATCTTGTTGCTAATAGTTTGTGCATCTTATCAGGAAAAGAGAAAGGAGTTTTACCTGTACTTTCATTCTCTGCTGTGTTATTCTTAAGATCTCGTTGGAAGACTCTGCAGCTATGGAAAAAAAACCAAAACCACAAAAAATGAGACTAGTCAGTTTTTTAAAAACACACCACCATCTGTTTTGAAGGGAAAAAAAAA